TATATATAATGTAATGTAGAAAACAAAGGCCAGGGTTATTGATTGGAACTCGTGACATGTCCTCTCAACAGTCCGAAAACCCAAAGATATTCAGTTTACTGTCACTAAGGCCAGAGGAAGAAACATCGATTTCCTGATTAAACCTGATTAATTTTTATTTTTCTTCAAGCAGCCAGAACCAGTAAATGTTTGGCATCGACAAAGAACTATCTGAAGTCATTTGATTATCAACATTGTAAAAAAAAATTCTGAATTGATTTGATCAACTGGATAGTTGTTGTGGTACTGTTTAACTGCTATGTAAAGTTACAGCTGGAAAATGTACAAAAATAGAATAAATAGGGACATTACAGCAAAATAAAGCAGTTGTAGAACATGAGATGAAGAAAATGTCCAACACCAATGACAACACCAGAAATATGGGCAATAAATACTGTGTGTAGTACTATTTTTATTATGAATGAATGTGTGAACATAATTAAGGTTCATGAAGCCCAGACTAAATGAAAGGAGAAATATGTGAATTTACTTCAGAAGCACAGTAGAGGATGTGAAAAGTGTCATGTTTCCCATGAAGCCATTTTGAGTTGAGTTGCACTGCTCTGGCTTTACTTGTTAGTAGGATCTCTGCCACAAGTGTGCTGATACTTGTATGTGTGTCTGCAGTGAAATAACCGACAGCTACATCTACATGCTGATGGAGTGTGGGAACTTGGATCTGAACACTTGGTTGCGAAATCGCAAGAGTGTGAGTCCATTGGAGAGGAAGTTCTACTGGAAGAACATGCTGGAGGCTGTCCATACCATCCACAAACATGGTTGTCTTTCTGTTAAACCTCTCACTGCTGTAAATGGCACACTAAAATGATCTTGATCCCTGACTATTCCAAATCTGTACATTTTCGATGTCTTTGTAGGAATTGTCCACAGCGACTTGAAGCCAGCTAACTTTGTCATAGTGAATGCTTCACTGAAGCTGATTGACTTTGGCATCGCAAACAGAATCCAACCAGATGTAACAAGTATCATGAAGGATTCACAGGTAAAATCTTTGTTAATGACATGTCTTACACTGAATGCACATGGAGTCTGTTGTATATAGCATTAATCTTCTTTCTTTCTCTCTGTGTGTAACACGCGGTTGTTTGTCAAACACAGGTCGGAACCCTGAACTATATGCCCCCTGAAGCCATCAAAGACACATCATCTCAGCCAGGAAAAGCACACTCAAAGGTGTTTTTACTCACTATTACTGATTAAACAATTTGTGCTGTAACCTGCGACTGAAGTAGAGTTCAAAACATTTGACTTAATCCACAGATCAGCCCAAAAGGTGATGTGTGGTCCCTTGGATGTATCTTGTACTGTATGACTTATGGGAAGACTCCATTCCAAAGCATCACCAACCAGATTACCAAGCTACATGCCATTATTGATCCCTCTCATAAAATTGAATTTCCTGACATCGCAGAGAAGGATTTGCTGGATGTGTTGAAGGTGAGGGACAGTTACACCTAAAGATACTCAGTATTTTGAAATGGCTGATCTAGCCCAAACTGACCATTAAATATTTATTTGACTGATAAATTGGTCTGCACAATGGGGGAACACGTTTTGTTAAAGGTCAGTCAGCATCCTTTACAATTGCTATAATGGATGTATCTATGCTTGTATGTCAGCTGTGTTAATCACATATTAACTTAAATTTATACAGGAAATTCTTAATTATGGTTGTATTCTGGGCAGCACGGTGGCACAGTGGTTAGCGCCGTTGCCTCACAGCGAGAATGTTCCAGCTTCGGGCCCCACCTGGGACCTTTCTGTGTGGAGTTTGCATGTTCTCCCCGTGCTTGCGTGGGTTCTCTCCGGGTACTCTGGCTTCCTCCCACAGTCCAAAGACATGCAGCTTAGGTTGATTGGTGTCTCTAAATTGCCCATAGGAGTGCATGTGCGTGCTTGTTTGTCTATGTGTTAGCCCTGCAATGGATTGGCGACCTGTCCAGGGTGTACCCTGCCTTCGCCTGATTGCCGGCTGGGATTGGCTCCGCCCCGGCTCCGTGCTGCCGTAATGTCCTAAAATTAGTATGAGCCAGAGTCGACTGCTAATGCACAAGATTTTTTGTGAGCTCTCAGATTTGTTTACCTTCTGCTAGCTCTTCATGCTCAGGTCTGAGGTTTGCTATAGAAGAAACATGCTGCCCAGTGCAGCAGTATGTTTCACTGATGTATTTTTTAATTCATTTTGAACAACAGTGGAGGTCTATGGCGCAGACAACGAAGCTAATCCAGGACTGATGGACATTGTTGAGTGTGTTGAAAATACTATTAATATAGAAAATTACCAGCCTTATCCTTTAATCAAGTATGAATTCATTTATCACTTTTCTGTCAGTTTTTTGTTAATCAGTGTCAAAAGACTTATTTGCATCATCTGTGCATCAGTGTTGTAAAACTAATGTGGGACAGTATATGCACTTGTAGCAATTTTCAAGAGAATACAATATAATTTTTTGTACCCAATTATTATATTAAGGCTGAAGGGTTAAGAAACTTGGAACAATGTCAAGTTCACTGAGCTCTGACAGTTCTGTGCTTGATCCAGAGGTGCTTGGTACGAAACCCCAGAGAGCGAATCTCTGTGGCAGAGCTGCTGGAGCATCCATACCTACAGCTGAAGCCACAAGCATCATCTGAACCAGGTACAGCCAGACTCATCAGTACAAAGTCTGTGTACTTAGAAGTCAGCTTTGCTGTTCATCATGTGACTGACTAGTTTTCAATTCACCTCTTTCAGCACATCCATGTAACAGTGACCTCAAGAAGATCCTAACAGACCTTGTAGCACTCCAGTCTCCAAACAGCATCGTCCGAGCTGCTAATGTAAAGTTTACTTGTTACACTGTTTTCCATTCATGAATTTGTTCAATAATAATAAAGCTATCTGCTTTTTACAGAATCTGGCCAAAATGTGCAGCAGCGGAAAAAGATTGGATGTTGCAGAGTGTGCAAAGTCATCGTCATTCTCATGAAATGTTGTGAATTTTTTTTTTTTTTTTTTTGTTGAACATCCCTGCCCTGTCTCCATCCTACCCCCAACCCTGTTAACCACATCATTTGTGAAATACATAAATATATTGTATCTAAAAGGGTGGTTTGTTTATTTGTCAGAGCTGATATAAAAGTTAGGTAATTGACACATTTTTGTTTCTGTGTGAGAGGTGAGGGCATAGGGAAATGTCCTGACAGAACACAGTGAAATAAATGTGGAGACATTTTTTTAAATGATAAGCTTTTTTTTTTGTTAATGAGTTAGTTTAGATTTATATAGTCAGGTCAAGATGTCTTTTGCAAGAGACCTCAGAATACATTACATGACAGTTCATATTTGCAGACAACCTTCACAGACACACACAGAGCAAGGCTAATAAAAACAATTAAAGCTTTACTTCTAATGTTTGTAAAGTCTCTCAGAGCAATGACTGTCTCTGACTTCAGACTATGCCGCAGTTTATTCCAGTAGTGAGATGCAATGTACCAAGCCAGTCTTCCCCACATAAGAGTACCTGGGGGTCTCTCTTGTGATCTGGTGTTGTGTAGCTAATAATGTTAAATACAGTATCTCTGCAGCCTAGATAATGAGGCCTTAATGAAGATGGGTATGGGGATGGCTGTGATGACCATCTTTTCTTATATAACAGTGGAGAGTAGGATAGCTGTGCAATGCCACTGTTTACAAGTCTGCTTAATTATTTCATTAATAAGCTTATAAAGAATATTAATGAAGTATCTAAATCATTTTCTATATATGCTGGGCATAATCTTGCTAATTCTGAGGGTAAAGTAGCTGGAATGGGGGAATAAAATTGCAATCTGTTTATTGGACAGGCAGTGTTGGGAAGGTTACTTTTGAAATCTGATAGGTTACAGATTATTAGTAATTTAACATACGGTAATTACTTCAAAGTTATGGAGCTACTTTTTAATTACTTTTCTAAAAAATGGTTTAAACAGAGCCATAAAGCTGAAAAGTCCTGATATAAATTCAAACCAGGCAGTATAAAGCTCACAACAGTCCCTGACACTTAGTATTGTTAAGCTTTTATTAAAGGTTCTTCAACATAACTTCAGTTACCTGTAGCCTACTGAACAAGTGCCAAGCAAAGCCCTTTTCTGATTTCAGAAGATAAATCATGTTGAATTTCCAGCATTGAAAAGTGTTCTTTTCTGACATGACACCTCTAGGTATTGTCGCCTGATCACAGAAGGCACAGCAGCCTCGGGTCATTTAGAGCAATGCACAGTGTTGGGAAAACTGTAGCTTTGCAAGCTATCAATTACTTCACATCGGAAGAAGTTAAACTACAGCAAAGCTGCTCTAGCAAGAAATGTAGTTTGGTAAACTAAAATTGCTTTGAAAAAGTAGTTCAACCTACTTTGTAAAAAATGGACAAACTGTAAAATATACATGTCATACAAAACTTCAACGTAAAAGAAAACTCGTGCCAGAAAAAATGCCACTGAGTTGTTTATTTTCCTGAGACAAAACAACCTCTCCTAAATAGAACAATCCCAATGGGCTTTTGAGTGATATTAGATGTTTTTGTAAACAAATGTTTTTTTTTATGATCTCAAACAGCTATATATGTGTGTGTGTCAGAAGAATTTCATTATTAATTATGTTTTAAGCTGTGTTTTAATCAATATATTAACCAACATACGCTATTCAATGGATTTTAAACTTTCACAACAGAGACCTGTGAGAAACTGCTTGTGTGAGCTGAAGGACATGTCTTATCTTTCTTTTTAAACTGTGTGCTGTGATATATTCAATTACAGGGTGTTCCAGACTTAGAGGAGCCCAGCCATAAACTGTGAAGATAAACATGCACCCAGCTTATTTAGTGTCTAAGGGGTTAAAGTCATAAAATTATTTTGAGAAGTGATTGCCTATTTAAATGGCAAAATATAAAAAACTAAACAAGCATCAACAGAAAAACAGTTCATTTGTAGTTCTAAACATATTTAGGGTGTTTTTTACTCACTTCTTGTCTCTCCCATGACGTTACTCCTCTCTCCTACAGCGTCCATTACAATTACTCTTACAATTACTCACAAATAGTGAGTAACAATTATGCAAAAATAGGCCATGACGTCATTTAGCGACTTCTAGTGACTTTTAGGACAGCCATTAGCTACTTTCCTTACTGAGGAATTGGCAACACTGAGTGAGAGTGAACCGTCCAGACTTGGCTAAGACCACAACCCAGAGAACACCATTTCCTTTCTACTGAAATATTGACTCTACAGAGTAGTCACAGCAACGACCTGCTAGTAGATGACATCTCAAATAATGACTTGTCCAGGAAGCTCCATAAGTTGCTTTTTATTTATCCTGTTTTAGCAGAGAATTCACACATTTCTTTCCTAAGATTTGATTGTGACCACATCATAATACAGCATTGTCATTGCTGAAAGAAGAGGTCTGAGTCCTTAAGTCAAATAAATGAAAGATAATATAAAAACAGGCAATATTTTTACATTCAGGATTTCAATTAAAGTGCAAGGGTTATTGTACTACTACTGTGAAAGTACTCATGCAAAACTGTCCATTTTAGAAAGAAGTATAAACATATTATTGAACAATATATTAATGCTGAAGCCTCTTGGTAGTTTAAAATATTTGTATGTAAAATCTTTATCTAAATTTTATAGTACAATAAAAGGTTCCGCTTCCTGTACATTTCAGTGAAGTAGAGGTATAAAGTAGCTTTGAATTGTACTACATTTGAATCTGAGATACCAGCGCTGCACCTATGACCTCAGACCATAATAGAGTGAGGTTTTGCCTCACAGACTGCACATGCTACACTGCTCTGCGTCCAGATTGCAAATGAATTGCGCATGCGCGAAGCCACCGCTGATCCCGACGTCTTACAGAGCTTGATGTAAATGTAAAAGTTTCTTCTCTGCCACACTAAAATAAACTAGAAAATGCGTATGAATGCTGAAAGATCGCCCTGAAAATTCTGAATTTTATTAAATCTCATTAAAAAAAAACAAGTAATACTATCTCAGCTACCTACATGTCCCTATGCTGACTTAAGTTCAGCCATCCAGGCTTTGTATTTCTCCAGGTCTGCAGCAAAGACGGACTTGGAGATCTTCTCGAGTGCAGTGAAGTCCTCCAGTGAAACTGGCCTGTGCAGCTCGTCTTCGGACAGAGCACCTATCTCTTCGGGACTCAAGTCCTGAATTCGACGGCACATCGGCATCATGGACGCATCCCTGATGTTTAAACAGCAGCAGAGAGAGGCAGGGGACAGAGGGCTGTTACTCATATATATTTTAAAACAATTTACTCCCTAAACATAGCTCTCTCCCTCTCACAAAATGATCATGCATTTGAAACAACACTGCTCTACCTCTCACACACATACTTATTGTTTTGAATGTCAGAAGAGTTTTATTCCAGTCAAAACTGAGCCTCAACTTTCTCTTTGCATAGGAAGTAGGCAGTAGCGTGCAGCACATCTGCAGTACGCATGGAGTTGTGGTAGGAGCTGGAGGAGTGGTAGCTGGCTGCAATGAGCTGCAATGAGCTGCAGCCAGGAGCACAGTGTGGCCTCTGAGCAGTTCAAGAACTCACACAATCTGAAGCTTGTGAAGATCTTTAGCCCGAGCCAAAGGACTGGGTGAAGGAACATGGGGCTTAAGCAGCAAGAGTACTTTATATGTAACTTCACCCAGTACTTCTCCATGTTCTTCTCTTTGCTTATTCGCAGTCTGTTACCTTCTTCCTGCATCTACTTTAAATTCTCTTTTTACCCACATGTATAATTTGATTAAGAGCTGATAATCTTCCTCCCTTTACCTGAGTCATTTGGATCATTATTTAGAGAGAAGTACCGTAAAATCCGGACTATAAGCCGCTACTTTTTTCACAAGCTTTGAACCCAGCGGCTTAAACAACGATGCGGCTAATTTATGGATTTTTACAGGCTAACGAGCTTCGTGCCGCCAATACATTTAGCCTCGTCACATCAGACCAATGAAATTACCGAACAGTTTACAGTGGACCAATGAAACTGTTCGAATTAAATCAAATGCACTCACACTAAATTCTTCAGATCAGTCATTTTGCGCTTCATGCACACACCGTCATCATGGAAAACGCACGAAGAAATGCATATGATGCAGCTTTCAAGTTAAAGGCAATCGATCTGGCTGTCGAAGAAGGAAATAGAGCTGCTGTGTGTAAGCTTGGCATCAATGAATCGATGGTGAGACTTGGAGAAGGCAGCGTGAAGAACTGACTCAATCCAAAAAGACAACAATAGCTGTGTAACATCTTTCTGTGTAAATATCTCATGTTACAACATGGACATCTGTGGCTTATAGACAAGTGCGGCCTATATATGTAGAAATTTTTTTTTTTCTTCTTAAATTTAGTGGGTGCGGCTTATAGTCAGGTGCGCTCAATAGTCCGGATTTTACGGTAGATTTTCTGAGGGTGAAAATTCCATTCTTGTGAAAGAGTTCGGTGGGAAGATTGTGACCACCTTTGTCTGTATGTCAAGTCTCAAGCTAGAGCCAGGTGACACTTAGCTTAGCATGAAGACTAAGAAGACGGTTAAACAACTAATGTTCAGACACTGAAACATTGTCCTGTTTGTTTGAACTGTGCAAAAGCCAACATATAAAAAAAAAATCTTGAGCTATCCCTTTAATGTTTGTACTTGCATTGTGTTCAGTATAGATGACAAAAACGTCAACATTTGGGCAGGAAAATATCAGCTTCCAGCTTTGAGAATGCAAAAGAATGTAATACAGTAATAATCCAAGTAACTGCTGAAGTAAAAACCATTTGAAATGAGTACCATGTTATTGCTTCAACTAAAATGGGCCGTCTTTTCTGATCAATTTGGTGTCTTGTTTCAGTTTCCCCCATCCTTGTACCTCTTGTGTGTAGCTGCCTCCAGCTCCAGGATGTTGAATTCCCAGTGCTCCTCATCGTTCAGCATCTCGGCGATGGATGGGGGGACGTCGCTCAGAGTGACTGGGATGGCCAGCTGGCTCTGGCTCATATCTAGAAAACAGGCAGAAGTGTGCAAACACACATGCACGCAAGCACAGGGTTTAAGGCGAGCTGACCATAAAAGAGGCAAACCAAGAGGGAGCCCTGAGTACGATTTGACATATAAATAATAATTTTGGCTCTAATATCTGTATACTGTACATGTGCAAACACTGTGCTGATACGTTTGTACTTTTACTTCAGTAACATTTTGAATGCAAGACTTTTACTTGTAACAGAATATACTGTTTATTTAAAGCAGCAAAATGAGTGCTTCTTCACCACGGCCTGATTCTGTACCAATGTCTGACCTCACCATCAGTTTGCTATGTTAATAATGGAGTTTGGCTTTCATTAACTTGTTGCTGTCTACCTCAGCACATTAATGTAAGGTCAGTTCACCCAGTCAAAATACAAAAATCTCACTTACCTTTGGTGCTGCCTAATTGCTGATTGGAGAAACAATCGGCCAATCGGGGATTTGGACACATGATGACAAATGAGGATGCCACCCTCCTGCAACAGTTAGAGGTAGAAATTACAAACCAACTTGCTGATTCAGCATGCTCTGTTGGGTTCACTTCTGAGGTGTGTCCATGTTTTTCAAAGCTAAGTGACTGTGTAACCATTAAATGCACTTTGCTCCACCTTTACCAGCTGCAACATTAAACTGATGAACACAATTATAATTCAATAATACACATTCATGTTAAATTTGCCATTCTGCGTAATGAATACTTTTACTTGTGGTACTTTATGTACTTTTACACTGCGGCATTGCTACTTTTATCGAGCCCTTGCTCTCTGTCCATTTAACGAGGCTTCTTTGGGATGTGGACTTTTGGCCGCCCAAACAAACACAGTGGTCCATCAAAGAAGGCCGTGGACATCTCCAACATCAAGACACTGTGGTTGACAGTAGATCGATCGGGCACTCGGGGGCAGTCCAGGTACGATTTCATGATATACAAACTTGCACTATGATCCGTCTTAAAATGGTGTCACCATAGTGTTTTAATAATCCTTTTGCGCTCCTGTCAGATGTTTGTGAGCTTCAAGGAGAACGGTGTGGTCACATACTCGACCGATCACCTGCTGATTCTGTGGAAGAATGGAGAGAGACGGTCCCACCTCTGCAGCTTGGCACTTTTTCAGAAACTGGAGGAGAATGGCCCGCCTTTGCCCGATTTCTGGCCGGGATTGGGTCGCGCCCCCC